GTTGGAACGCCTCTCCTATGAGGAGAGGCTCAGAGAGCTGGGGCTGTTCAGCCTGGAGAAGAGAAGGCTCTGGGGAGATCTTATTGTGGCCTTCCAGTACCTAAAGGGGGCCTACAGGAGAGCTGGGGAAGGACTTTTTACTAGGGCATGTAGTGATAGGATGAGAGAGAATGTGTTTAAACTGGAAGAGGGCAGGTTTAGATTAAACATAAGGAAGAAATTTTTCACTATGAGGGTGGTGAGGCACTGGAACAGGTTGCCCAGAGAGGTTGTTGAGGCCCCATCCCTCGAGGTGTTCAAGGCCGGGCTGGATGTGTCCTTGGGCAGCCTCATCTAGTCAGAGGTGTCCCTGCCCGTGGCAGGGGGCTTGGAGCTTGGTGATCGTCAAGGTCCTTTCCAACCTAAACCATACTATGATTCTATGATATATTCAGTTTATGGATGGAGTATTAATTGTGCATGTAGATACATTTAGAAAACCTTAAGAAGAAAAGAAAAATTAATTACCATTAAAATGTTGATAACAAATGTAAAAACAGAGGTAGATGTGTGTTGTGGGATGCTGTGTAGAGAAGTGACTGGTCTAACTTGATATTATTTATGTTTCTTTAAATATTTTTTTACAGACTGATAATAAACACTTGGGAAGTATATACAGTTTGCTAACCATCAGGATACAATATATGCAAGCAGTTAATACTTGCTTTTTTTTCTAGTTTTAATATATATTCAGAAAAATCAAGAAAATGGTATCATTTAGTAATTAATATCTTAATGAAAAACTAATTTTGATGGAAATACATTTAGTAGATAACATCACTGTATTTAAGGGTATTTCAAGTTAAATTTGTGGCTTATAAGAGGAAATATTACATACAGTTGCAAAATTTGAATAGTTTTAGCCGCTTCGTAATTTTAGAACTAGTCCGTCTTGCCTTGGTACCTTATTTGCTGGAAGAGGACTGTGTTTGGGCTGAAGCTCAGAGAGTTAACAGAGTTAACATCACAGTTGAGTTCCTAATTGTAAGCTTAAAAACTGCCTCTGACATTCTCAGCACTGGTGTTTTCTACTCCCTCCGTTCAACTGAGCAACCTAGGTATAGCTCTCATGGCAGTCCTTCCTCCTCTTCCACCAGTTCAAGTTTTTAGACCCAGAAGGATTCTCTCCTAAGTCTTGTCTCCACAGCTGGAGGTTGTTGGAGCATATTCTGGGACAGCACACCAGAGTTTTCTGGCTTTCTAAAACCGGAGCGAAGTAACTCCTGAAATGAAGAAATACTTGGGTCAGGTTATTCAGTTGTCTCTGCCTCTCTGTTAGCACTTAGCACCTGGAAACAGTCATGCTAGACTTGCAGAAGCCTCCAGTCAAGCAAGCTTTCCTTCGCATCACAGTCGCAAAATTTTGATCTTGGAAAAACTTGTGTTACTGTAATTTTACCTCGTGTAGG